CTTTGCACCTTGCACCTTGCTTCTAGAGTCACGACGGGTGGAACAAGAACTCTTCAGTTTGGCGGAACTCGCTCCGTGCACAGAGTAGGCACCACCACACTGAACGCACAACCACAACTGTCCCTGTAGCTGCATGTCGTGGCTCACATGCACGCCGGCAAATTTAGCTGGACCGTCGGCTCCGCATGGTGTGTTTTCACGCTCAACCAAGACCTTCCTAGGCTTAGCGTGCAAAAGCCTCCAGCCGCACCGATTGCAAATTAAATCAGGCCCCTTCCACACCCACTCATGCTTGGAGAGTCCACCTTCATTCACCAGGCTGGTGAACCACTCATCTCTAGTCTGGGTGTGGCCATGGCCAACATTAGCACCAACCTTTTTCTTGCAAGTACGTTGAACCCCAGGCAAAGGTTTGGCCGTACCAGTCATGGCCGGAATGTCGCACGCTTGAGTCACCTGGCTATGCTTAATGCCCTTGATAATGGTGGGATGCTGGTTCGGAGACTTCGCAGACAAGATAGTCTCAACACGACTGGCAAGGCAACAGAGTACCTGCTCAGCAACTGTATCCTGCTTGCGAAGCTTGGCAACGAAAGTAGCATCCACCAGTTCATGTGCAAACTTGCCGCACAGAGCATCTGCTGTCTGATTGATATTGAAGCGCCACCTGTTTTCAAAACCAAACACTTTATCAAATTGCTCAAGCTTCAAGTGAGAACGGATCCAAAAGGGCCGCAATCTTTTAAAACCATCCTCTTCAGTGATAGTGTGCCAGATGTCCTCGTGTTTGCCGCCCTTTTTTCCTGCCTTGAGTCTCTTAGCAACTGACTGGCAATCAAGAGTAACATCGCACAGACCTGTGGTTCTTTGCGCCGCAAGAGCAACTGCAAAAAGCTCTCCACGAAAAACTGTCTGACTGCCAGGCAACTCACAGCAAATGGAGGCAACCTGTTGCAAGGACTGGTTAACCCACCTATAGGCAACTATTGCAACTGCAACTTTTCTGAGGCGGGGATCCTTAGTGTGGGGTCCCCCACTGGCATCAGTAGCAAGCACTACGTCAGAGAGCCTGTCCTTCTGCAACCACTCCCCAGTGATGACAGGCTTGCTATTACGTGCAGGGCAGCTCAACGTGGCAACAAGTCCACGCTCCCAGAAACCCCGATCATGTCCCGTGTTGAGGCCCGCCTGAACACATGGAGGAATGTCGCAGCTTTTGTCTTCAAACCATTTGCACTCAAAGACAACATGCTTCCATGTGTTCGCTGTCTTACACAGGGGGCACATGCTCTGCCCTCCATTGCCTGCATGAGGCAGCGAACCCTGAAGACTTGTGTTAAGGGCCTTGCTGCGCAAATGGAAATTGTTCTTGCGCCAGCCATTGAGCATTTTTCTAGCTACAGTCCAGTCAATTCCATGCTGGAGGGCAGGGTCATGGACATTCGCGCTAATCCGTTGGTAAGTTTCCTCATCCACAGCCTGTCTGACTGCATCAAGAATCCTAGCACGATGTTGTGGCACATGCAGATTCCAGTCTGCTACTTGCTTTGGGCATCTCCAGATGTGCACGGCTGGGGAGGTCCAACCAAGAGTTTTCATGTGCGCAATGGTTGCAGCCAGCGGACCTTTGACAATGTGCCAAGGGTGCTGTACTTCAAGCCTAGTCCAAGTTTGTTGCCAAGCTCTATCAAGGATCTGCAAATCTCCAACCCACCTTGCAAACACTTGAAACCACACCTGGAAATGCTGACAGATGATGTCGGCCTTGGGATCACGCACTCTGTCAGAAGCCAGGCTCAGAGCAATGTCAGCCGTGCCTAATTTCAAGCGCCCAACATGTAAAGCAGCACCCATTCTTAAGACATGCACCCTAGACGGTGGCATGCCTTGGGCCTGGTGTCCCCACGTGGCAGAGCTGACAACACCTCCTTTGAAAAGGCGGATCCTGCAGGACTGAACCCCAACTTTGAGCTTACCAAGTTGTTGGCTTCGTTTACCAGCTTTGATCATCCTAGATCTCTGGATTTGAACTCTCCTAACCCTGGCAAGGGCGCAGTCCAAACCCAAATCACACATTGTGTCGTGAATTTGCGGATCACTGGGCCGTCTTCGCTCGGCGAGCTCACGTCTGGCTTCCTTAGAGGAAGTCAGAAAGCCAGTCTTCTTCATGGAAACTTTGAGGCCACTGCTCTCCAGCAAGTTTTTGGCGTGTCGGAAACACGCGACTGCATCCTGCGCCACAACTGTGGCCGAGGCATGCTCCAAATCAGCTCCTATGTCGTCAACCCAACTGTCAAGGGCTTGAACGCCTTTCATACCATGAATTTCCTGGAGGATGGGCCAAAGGTACGTCTTGGCAAGGGCAACTGCAAAAGGGCAGCCTGCAAGCATGCCCGTACGCGGGTAAATAACCTCACTCAAGATATCCTCGGCTTCAATGTGTCTAGCTGCTCTGTACGTCTGGACAACTAGGGCCGCCACCCTGGCAGGAAATCCATAAGCAATGATTCTCTCCTCAAGCAGTTCAAAATCAACAAGATCATAGAAATTGCTAAGGTCAAACAGGACGGCAACTCTGTGCTTTCCATTGCAACGACTGGTTTCCGCTCTAACCAATCTGGCAATGCCTACCTCCAAGCAGGTGTTGCCTGGAGTGGCACGATCCCACAGGTGTTGCCTGGAGTGGCACGATCCCACACCGCGTTGAGGACCTTCCCTGCTTTACCTCAGGTTCACAC